ACAGACACACACACACACACACATACCCACCCACACACACACATGACATACACACATGACATATACACACATGACATACACACATGACATACACACATGACAGACACACATACATACACACATACATATACACACATACACACGCGCACACACATACACACACACACACACACACACACCGCATGCACCCACGCAGACTTTGCTGGCGGGACGACCCGTCATGTTTTGCAAGTAAACCCCGACTTGGACGGCTTGGATCTTGCATGGTCTTGCTCTGGTGATACTGATTCTTGCAATTCCGCTTGCTCGCGATGGGCGCCCTGTCAACGTCACAACGTACCTGTCATCACTCAGATCATTGCGCACGTGCCGTGTTGCTATCATCCGTAGCCTCTTCACGTGAAAATGTGAAGCCAACTGAATGCAACTCAACGCGGGTAAAATGCGGCCACTGTGTCTACCAGATAAGGTTCTCGGGCCCGTGGGTAACTGGGTAACACACCGTTGATGTGGAACCAGAATGAACCCAGAGCCTTATTCAAACCGAAGCTTGAGGATTCCTGGCAGGGAACCTGGACTTTACAATCAGCATCTCAAATCACCAGGACACCGAACAAAGGCTTGAGAGTTGATGTGAAAATACAGGACAAGACTCTGCGGAACTCACTATGCGCTCACATGTCTGGCAAAGTTCTCTGCAGCCGACAGGCCGGTAAGCCGACGAGCCCTCGGTTTTGGGGTGCAATTAGGGGCTTAGGCTTTAGGGAGCAGCGGCACGCGTCGAATTGTTCGTGTCTTAGCTGGCCGATCGCCTTGTCGGCTGTCGCACGGATTGGGAGCAAAAATGCACGCACACTGTACTTCAATTCCATGCCTCGTGGATTTAGTTGAATGCAGCCAGATTCCACGCATCGTTACAGTTCAGCCGGCAGTCGCCTCCTACCAATCTTTGCCGGCATCCGCCCGCCAGCCCCGTTGCAAAGGTTTCCATTCGGCAGGGGCAAGTATGACTATATGACCTGAACATGAATTGAATAATTATGGGGTGATGCTCAAGCCCAGCTACACAACTAACATCCGGCAGACCCGCCGACAACCGCGCACCGACTTTTTCAGGGCGTTCTGTCATGTGCGGTACTGCATAGAGATTTTGTTGAGTCAACCGCTGAGTCATCCACTGTGTTGTGGCCCTTGGCACTCAAGGCGCTGTTCTTGCAGCCAAAGCTGCTGATGCTAGATGAGCCAACAAATCACTTGGATTTGGATGCAGTGCGAACCTCACTCGCTCTACCTTCCTGCTGGTGAGAAGACGACTCTCGTAACCTGTAAATGCAGGCGTGCTTGAATCTCTGCTTCTTGACTGAGCTGTTCCACTTGAACGTTGCTGCTGCTCTCAGGTTTTGTGGCTGGACACCTACCTGTCCGAGCACTATCCCCACTCTGTGGTCGTTGTGTCGCACGATGCCGACTTCCTCGATAGCATTTGTAACTTCGCTGACTGTGACTTTAAGAGGGTCAGCAGGGAGGGGATGTGGCATCGACGATCGAGAGCTCTTCGGTGCATGCATGTGAGACTTCATGGACGAAAAGACAATGAACGGCGCACGCGTGTGGCCTGGGCCTGTGTTGTCGCAAACGGAGGCTTGTTAAGGAAGAGCAACTTTGAAAAGTAGCTGGTATCAAGCACCGGCTCGCGGCAGATGTTTACATTTTGTCGTACGCATTTGAGCAGTTGCTGTGTCAGTGTTGTGATCATTTGAAGAGCTGCATAGTCTTTTCGTGCGCTGGTAGCACAGCCACCATCAGGGCCTAATAATACTTCTACGAACAGAGGCCTGGCTTTTCTGGGGTCAAGGACCGGGGTTTACGATCGGCGAAGCTGGTCAGCATGGCCTTGAAGGACGACTTTGTAATACTATTCACAGTCATACTGCCTGTGTAGTCACCTTGGTGGCCATGTATTTCCGTTGCCCACTGTTGAAGATGGTTGACGATAGCACCATGGTCAATACCGTCACGGCAGTCCATGCTGGACCTGTTGGTGTCCTACATAGCTTGAACAATCTAAGTGAAAACGAGTGCTGGTGCTCTGAGAAGTAAGCTCAAGCGATGTCAGGTCCTTGCAAGCACTGTCAGCTCTTGTCAAGCAGCGACATAATCCATGGAGGGCCGAACCTCTGGGACATAGATGCCCGGCTCGAGTCTGGTTTCTGCTCGGATCATGGGGGGTGACCGCAAAAGGCCATGGGAGCTCTTGGGGACTCCCGGGCCCGGCCGGAGTCTTCCGCGTTCACGCCCGCCCCAGCCGCGAACGCAGAACCTAGACCCCGATCTTTTTGGCGTGGGTTTGGGGCTTTCGTGGTCTTACTGTGCTGCATTGTGCTGCTAGGGTGAGTCGTGCTAGGAAGGCTACGTCGTTCAGGACTGTCACGTTCTGGAACAAAGATCGATAACGGTTCGAGACGGTTCGGCTCGGGACAGGAATCGTGCGAACCGAATGAACGTCGCAATCTCATGCAAAAAAAGGATTCTACCGGCGGGCATTGGCGGGCATGTCCGCAATGTGCAAGCCCTGGCATGGTAGCTCACACCAATTTTGCGATATCAACAAGACGAAGATTCTAAAACCTTCGTCATGGCTTTTTGGAAATTCAGCATGGCTTCTAAGAGTAATTCTTCGTGCGGCTTGTGAACCATATCGTGAATGCCCCTTGGGGAGTGCGGTTTGTGCTCATGCATCGCGCCGCCATTTTGTAAGGTGGAAGTTTTCCTGCATCAGCCAGCAGGATCTGTCTTGTTGAGATACTTGTCAACGACAAAAGCACCCTGTGCTTCGGCGCAGCAAAACAAGATCGTCTGTCCTCAGCTCTTTGCGGTCTATCTCTTAAGCAGCGTCCCTGCTAACAGTGCAGGCGCTTCTGGACCGAAGCATTTTAAGCCGACGTTGTTGGTCGGCCAGAAAATGGCTGCCCAGCATCCAGCTTCGACAAGTTCGTTGGTTTATGGGCCATGGGTGCTATGGGGAGAAGTAGCTGTACTTTTTGGCCGCTCTTACCTGGTCCTGCAACGGCTGCATGCCAGGATGAAGGGACAAAGACCCGAACAGCTTCCGATCCAACATTGACAGGATGGCGAAATCTGAAAGCAGCGTATCCGTTCCATGCGAACTTCACATGATCGAAAATCCGCTACTCACAATGAGCGTCGGCTCAGCACTTAAGATACTTAACTAGTTATATAACACTACATCACCACTGCCAACAAGCTTTATCTTCGGAAATGCAGAGTTGCGGGAAAATATTAGCACCATTGCCAACAAGCTGCACTTAAGAACGGCAGAAATACGGGAAAATTCATGTTGCTTCAACATGCCACCGGAAGGATCCCACATCCCACACAGTACTCCATGGCGAGGGTCGATAGCCTAACAACAATCTGCGAAAAAGGCTGGATTATTTTCTTATCTGCTTGTTCGCTGCTTTCAGCAGGCATACCATAAAAACAGAGACAGTACCTATTGCTGGCGGCGTGATCCAGCTGTTCCCGATTCAGAGTGCCTGGAGACCGCGTTAGTACAGCTAGCGGATGCTACTAGTAGTGGGTTGACGCACCTGAAGGAGTGCAAGGAAACATGGTTATTGTTGTCCCAGCACGTGAGCTCATCAACCGGTTGCTCAAATCTTCTTTGGTTGTTCACGCTAACGGCTGGCAGACACCCCAAGCAGTTAAGCGGGGTTAGGTGGGGTAACGGGCAGGGTCCTGGAATCAAAAATCCTTCGCCAAAGGCTTTATCTATGGTGGGTTAACTGATGTTTGTGGCAAGAGCTTTTTGACTTGGACTTAAATATAGTTTTTTGACATTTTTCTGGAATTTGTTTCCAGCTCCATGTTTCCTGAACGCCCCGGCCCCCACCCTGTTCCGCGAGTTCTAACCATCACTACCCTCATTGCTGCTATTCGTAGCTTCACGTGCGTAATCGGGTTTCTTTCTGATTTGCTGGGCGCCCAATCCAGTGCTGCATTGGTTTTGCTTGATGTATTCTTTGCCGACTCTCCAATGCCCCCGATGTTGCCGTGAAGAAGCTGCATATTGATGCGGTGCGTACGGGGGCAGTGTTCATACTATCTTTATGAGTGGTGCATCTGATGATGCTAATGTGGCGAGCAATCCGACACAGAATGCCCGCAGCACCAACAACACCATTGTTCAAGAATCGCCAATGTCATCCTGCTTCGGTTCTGTTGACATTACATTTGCGACGGTTTGTCAATATGCTGTCGATGTTAGAGCCACGAATACTGAATAAATGAATTCGAACATTACAATATGGCAACACCGAACATCACCGAGCATTGCCACGGAGGGTCTGGAGGTGCATCATGTTTCCCAGCAATATGATGGAGCCGCAAGACTTTGATATCAATAGAAGCTGGCGGAATAAACGCTGCGACTCGGCGTACTGCTGGCTGATCTGCGGCATTTCGATGTGCTGATCGCAATCCGTTTCAATTGCTGAAACGAATGGCCAGGACACGTAAGGAAAGGTTCCCGCCACATCAAAGCCGGCCCAACAGTGCCAACATTTTGTCACGTTTGACCATGTGTGTTTAGCCCGAACGGCTTGCCCGATGACAAAGGTACAGACATCTTGCATTTGGAGGAGCTTGGCCACATGCAAACACACGTCACGATGTGCAAGCAGTAGCCCTGTCGAGTCGAAGAAACCTGAAGGACAGAAAGCTGGTGCACTACCGCGGCGATTACACAGCTTTCAAGAAGATGCACCTGCAGAAGCGGGCGACGTTGGACAAAGAGTACAAGAAGCAGCAGGAGTGCGGGAAGCGTACTGCCGAGACCATTTTCCGCCGGGTTTTCACTTGCAGTGAGCTTGCGCTCCATCAGCAGTGTTCCAACATTGGAGGAGGCACGAATGTCGTTTGGTGCTCACCTGTTGCAGCATACAGGTGGCAGACAAGTCTCGCCCGTCAGCAAGCATTTCTCGTTGTGCAGGATTTCTTCTTCCGCCTGGCTTGATTTGCTGTTGGGAAGGGGTGTGAGTTGTGTCGGCTTGGCTGCCATGCGATATTTCTTGTCAGATATCCGAACTGATCGGCAAGACGCCAACAGGTATAAATCGGTGATGATCGGGTTTGGCACAAGCTGCACCATGAGAGAACAGAAGCACCTAAACCATTGAGTGTGAGAACGGTCGAGCTGAGATTGGGCAATTGACCAAACATAAGATGATTGGGCAAGCCTGTGTGTGTGCGTGCATGTGTGTATGTGCGTGCGTGTGCTTTTTGTATATACATACACACACACACATATCTTTATACACTTTGCAGCTATATGTTTGTTCATCTATACATCTGTGCGTATTTGTTTCTGTATCTGAATCTGTATATGTACCCGTGCCTGAACCTGTACCTGTACCTGCACCTGTACATGTACGTTACATATATCTATATATACATATATATGTATGTATGTATGTATGTATGTATGTATGTATGTATGTATGTATGTGTGTATGTACATGTACAATCTATGTATATGTATATGTATATGCAAGCATAGATACATATGAACATTATTTATGTAGATTCGCCATTGTAATGTAGACTTGTAGATGTACATGTAGATGAGTAAATGTGGATATATCTGTATATGTATATGTGGATGTAGGTGTAGATGTACATGTGGATACAGATGTAGATGTGGACGTAGATGCATCTGGTTGTTTTGGGCAGGGCTTGTCAGGACTCTGGCCAAGGCATTCTGTGAAGCTCAGCCTTTGTTCCGACAGGCCCGCCTCGGCGAGGATGCTGTGTACCTGAATCCCTTATTGATTTTGGCATGCAGCGTCTCATGCGTGCTTGTCCGTCGTCCGGAAACTTTATCCGACACTCTTGGAGACTTCAACCGGCTTCAATATCGAGACTGGATCTCAGCCAGCACCTCCCCATGTCATACCCTACCCACGCCTGTTGATTGCTTCCGCCGATGTCTTTCTTTCCCCTCTCGGTAGTGACAGGACGAGCTCAAAGCTTTGAAGAAGAAAGGGAAGACAAAGGCCACACGGCCACACACAGACGCAAAGTGTTAGTCATCGGAGTCATCTCCGCGCCAGGATGAGGCTGAAGCTCTTGTGAAGAACAAGTTTGGAATTGATGCCCTCGACGGACTCATGGAAAAGCACAAGGATTACGTTGTGAAATTCAAGTTTGAGGGCCATGGAATGGACAGATCACTGGGACTCAACGTTTCAGAAGTGGCATTCAGCTACAACGGCAAGGAGCCGTGGCTGCTTGACGAAGTAGAAATCGGCGTGGATTGTGGATCGCGCATTGCAATCGTTGGCCCGAATGGAGCTGGAAAGTCTACGCTCCTTAACCTGATGATGCAACACCTTGAGCCCTGTGTTGGCGATGTTGCAGTATCCAAGGGGATTCGTATCCGTCAGTACCACCAGCACTTTGAAGAGCTTTTGCCCTTAGATAAGACTGGCATCGAGTACCTCACGGACGAGTTTAATCTTGGCCCACCGGAGAAAGCCCGAGCTGTGCTAGGACAATTTGGGCTGCCAGGAAGCTCCCACTTCACAAAGATTGGAAATCTGTCTGGAGGCCAGAAAGCTCGTGTAGCTTTTGCTGCGCTGATGCTGATGAAGCCTCACATCATTATCTTAGACGAGCCGACGAACCATCTGGACATTGAATCTGTTGAAGCATTAACGACAGCTATCGCCAACTTCAATGGTGGCTTGGTGTTGGTGAGCCATGATGCCAGACTCATCACGGAAGTTGACTGTGAGCTGTGGGTGTGTGAGGATGGCGGTTGCTATCGATTCGAGAAGGACTTTGATGGATACAGGGACAAAGTCCTGCACCAGCTGGAAGAACGTCAGGCTGAAGTGGAGCGGATGGAACAGAAACGTCGAGAAGAACGAGCGAAGAAGCGTGCCAAGCACGTTTCAGAAGAGCAGCTCAGAGCCGCCAAAGACCGCAAACAGGCGGCACGGGCGACATCCGACTCCAAGGACCCAGCTTCGCATCTGCAGTTGTTCGCTTGAAGACATTCTGTGCGTGTTTTGTGTCGGGTCCACATCCAAACCGACAGAACCAAAACGATTTCTTCAGCACTGGCATTAAACGAGCAGCGTTTTGAGAAGACTATTCGTGCATATCCAGGCCCAGCCTGAGAGGCTGCAAGCATGGGGACCGCCTCGCGGCGGTGTTGCGGTCTGTCGTGCTCGAGATCAAATGACGATGCCAGTGCGCTGCTGCTGTGGTGGGTGGGTGGGCGGGTGGGTGCGGGGTGGGCGCGGGGCGGGGCGGGGCGGGGCGGGTTGAACCGGGCGAGGCGGGGCTGGGCCGGGTGGGGCGAGGCAGGGCGGGCTGAATTGGCAAATTTCCTGAGGCATTGTAGTTTTTTTGTCAATTCTCTGTCATTTCACCTGTCATTTGTCCGTCATGTTTCTGTCGTTGTTCTGCTTGTTTTGTTGAGTCTCAAACCCCTTGCCATTTGTTTGTCATTCTGGACGTCATTCCCCACCTCCCTTGCCATTTTAGAATGCTCTTGGAATGCAGATCATGGGACCACCTTGCGTGCCCTTAGGCCTGCCAGGAGTCTTGGAAGGCCTGCTGCAGACGAAAGCCATCCAAAAACTGACACATGCACTGCAAAAAATGACACAGCAATGAATGACAAGATAATTACTTGATGAAACCCAAGGTCTAGACCCACAATTCATACAAATTTACGGAAATGCTTACGAATGTATTGAAATGATCTGCCATGACGGGCCATGAGCTTACTTCGTTCAAGCATTTGAGCTGGATTTGCTGCCAAAGCGATGGACAAGACACGGTAAGACAGTGTGTCGATGCATGGACTTCGGAATTCCCCGACTTCGAGCTCAGCTTTTGGCACCTGCAAGTGGCACATTTTTCGAGTTTGCTCACATCTAATCGCAGTCTTGGCGAGCAGGCCCGAGGGCTCCTCGCATAATCTCGCATACCGTTTCTGCAACCTGAGGCTGTAAATCCAACAGCAATCAACAGCATGCAACATCTTAACTTCCCAAGCTTAAGCTCTCAGTCGCAACCCAACAGGCAAGGAAGGGCGAGGATGCGCAGGTTCTCGCAGGTTCTAGTCATTCTAGTCGAACACAACCTGTCGCAGCTTACTGCAGGGCTCAGGTTGAGGAGAACCGAAGTCAAAGTGCTGCGAGCAAACGAGGCACCAAGAAGAACAAACAATGTCCTTGAGATAACCAGTTTGCCTAGTTTGCTGCACATGGCACAGCCTTTCCTGTGAGGATGCCGAGAAACGCGCGGACTGACCGAGAGCGGTGTAGCTCCCACGGCTGCATCGATTTTCCAACGTCGAGTTTCACTGTGTGTGCAGGTCGGAAGTGCAATCGCGTGCCCTGTACAAAAGCCTTGCTGGTACGCTCGCCATTCGTGGTTATTTGTGGACATGTTCAGATCACGCGCGCTTTTAGCTGGCTCTGGGGCACTCGTTTGCTGCTTGGTCAGCTGGGCTCGATGCTCAAGCTTAGGTTCCGCCAAAGTCTCAGTTCTGACATTCTGGATCCTCGGTCACCCCGTGCCGCTCAGTTATTACCACGTGTTGTCAAGTCTCAGATCAGCAGGTGCCGGGCTCGTGTCCCGTCAAGCCACATCAGCAAAACTAAACGATCTACCCTAAGTCCATGGCACGCTGTGCAATGCCCCTTTGACCAGCCTTCCATCGGAGAGGCTCGGTCAGGGTGTCGTGTCATAACGCAGGTTCAAGCTCTTGGCTCATGACTTCGGGCAATAGCAGAGTGCGGGTCAGGGCACCGCCGACAGTCGCGCGTGTTAAGCCAGTTGTCCCGTCTCGGCTGGGGTTTGCAACGCGCATGAACGAGGCGGCTCATAGAGTGGCGGTACAGGGTCGCATGAACTGTCCTGCCCGCTTGAAAAGAAGGTATGGTTTCCGCCACTTAGTGCCCTTGCTTCACATCCTCACCCAGCCATTACAAAACTGCAACAAATGCTCTCTATGAAAGGTTGCAGCCATGAGTGGAGGCCACTTGAGCAAGGCCTTGCAGCGGTTGGCCTCAGAGATCAATGCCGGCGCAGTGGGCGTCCAGCCTGTGCATCAGGAGTTTTTCGAGCTGGTGAAGAGCATCGGCGAGTCTAGATCAAAGCAGGAGGAAGACAAAATCATCGTGGGCGAGATTGCTATTCTGAAGCAGCATCTGAGTGCCCCGAACATATCGGCAAAGAAGATGAAGGACCTTGCAGACAGGGTTCCTGCAGCTTAGGAAGACTCTCCCGTGACGTGGCAACCTGCGATCCCTTTACATAGCTGGGGAGTTGAAACCTCCACATGTCAGCAAAGAAGATGTGGCTCTTGTCTAGATTTTGCAACATGCTCAGTCGTGGCTGAGCTGTGCATCCTGTACTGTGTGCAGTTTTTTTGTCTTTGGCTCGCCATCTCCAGGAGTACATGATTCGAGCTGTTTATGCAGAAATGCTCGGTCATGATGCATCCTTCGCATACATCCATGCCGTGAAGCTGACCCACGAGAAGAATCTGTTTGCGAAAAGGACAGCCGTCGCTTCCTTGGGGTCCATGGTCTGGAGTGTGCTTTAAGTCCGGAGCCCGTGTTTTTTTGCTGTAGTTGCTCTGTGCTGGTTTTTATGTCTGTGCGCGAACCCAGGAAGCCTGTGCGTAAGTGAACCCCAGCCCCCGGCACAACAGCGAAAAGAACAACTCGCAGCCCCAACGACAGCAAAAAAAAAACACGACCCGGGGACGACAGCAAAAAAAACGCGCCACGGCAAACACAGCAACAAAAAACTCAACCCGTCTGGGGACGAATGCGAAGAAAACAACGCACCCCGGGAGCAAAAAAACAACGCGCCCCGGGGACGACAGCCAAAAAAAACCGCGCCCGGGGACGATTGCAAGAAAAACGCACCCCCGCAAGAACAGCAGCTCCCCGGGAACGACAGCCAAACAAAGAACACTCGCCCCCGCAACGACTGGACAGGGATCAAGCAAAAAATTCAATAAGGATCAAACACAATTAAATAAGAATCAAAAGTAAATTAGATAACGATCAAAAAACAATTAAACTGGCAACAAGCAAGGAGACAAGGGGAAGGAAGGAAGGAAGCAGAGGAAGGAAGGAAGGAAGGAAGGAAGGAAGGAAGGAAGGAAGGAAGAAAGGAAGTAGAAGGAAGAACACAGTAGGAAGGAAGCAAGGAAGCAAGCGATGAATAAAGCCAGCAATTATGGTTAAAGCGAGGAATGAGGGTAGAACAGTTTGCAAATGGGGGGAGCTGCCCCCCTCAACCCCCGCGCTTTTTTCGGCCGAACAAGCTTGCTTCAAAGCAGTCTCTTCGAAACCCATCATGCGAGCATTGTGTTTGCAAATGAGGGNNAACCCCCCCCCCCCCCACCCCCCGGCGAGTTTTTTTAGCCGTGCAAGCTTGTTTCAAATTAACCCATGATGCAAGCATTGTGCTTGCAAATGCGGGCCCCCCCCCTCCCCCCCCAACCCACCCGCTTTTCTACGCCGTGCAGGCTGGCTCCAAAGCATGTCAGCGCTTTTGGATCCTGTCATGGGAGCATTCTGTTTGCAACGAGGGGTGGACTGCGCCCCTGCCAACCCCGCTGTTTTAATCCGTGCAGCCTTGCTTCAAAATAAGTATAGCAGTTTCCTTTTTTGAAACGCACATGCGATCACTGTGTTGTAGATACATGATGCACCGGAATCGCCAAATGAGGGGGCATGTTTCAGATATATGAGGAACCGGAATCGCCAAATGAATCGGCGTATTTAAGATATATGATGAATCGGAAGCACCAAATGAGACCGCGTGTTATACATATATGAGAAACCGGAATCGCCAAATGAGGGGGCGTGATTTAGATTATGATGAACCGGAATCGCCACACGAGGGGGTGTGTTAATAAGATATATGGTGAATCTGGAATCGCCAAATGAGGGGGCATGTTCGAGATATAAGGTGAACCGCAATCGCCAAATAAGGGCGGCGTGTTTAAGATGTATGATGAACCGGCACCGCCAATGAGGGGGCATGTTGTAGATACATGATGAATCCGCCAAATAAGGGGCGTGTTTAAGGTATATGACGAACCGGAATCGCCAATGAGGGTGCGCTTTTAAGATGTATGATGCAACGGATTCGCCAAATGAGGGGGCGTGTAAGAAACCTGTGATGAAGCCGGAATTGCCACATGAAAGAGCGTGTGTAAGATATTTATAGGATGAGTCCGAAGAGGTTTGAATCTTAAAGCCTGAACCCTGAAGTTGAATCCGCTGGCCGGAATCGCCAAATGAGGGGGCGGGTCTAAGATATACGTGAACCGGAATCGCCAAACGAGGGGGGGTGTTTAAGATATATGAGGAACCGGAGGCGCCAAATGAGGGGGTGTGTTTAAAATATAAGATGAATCCGAGGATGTTTGAATCCGGTGGCCAAGCGACCCCGAAATTCTGTTGCTAAGTGACTCAAAACGGTGCGGACTCGGAGGGCTATGTGACCCTGGTTTTTGGTGGCTACCTGACCCCGGCACCAACAATAGAGGCTTTCGCTATTACAATATAGAGAAATAGAGGTTTTCCTATGGAAATCAAGGAACCCATCCCCCCCATCACCAAAGAGAATGGCCAAAGAAAAAACGAAGACGACCAAAACAACATCTCCACCCCAAAACCCTGCTAATTGTAATTCCCCAATAACGTGACACAAGACAGTCTTGAAATTGCAATCCCCTGGTAGCTTGGGGCAAAACAGGATTTTTCAAATCGAAATTCTTGCAAATTGGAATTCCCCAATAGCATGATGCAAGACAAGATCCCGCAACTTGTAATTTCCGGACAGCTTATGTATGTAGTCCCCCAACTGGCCTGAGACAACACAGAACCCTGCCAATTATATTAATTCCCCAATAGTTTGACACAGGACAGCCTCGAAATTGTAGTCCCCCGGAAGCTGGAGCAAAACAGGACTTTGTACATTCTGACGACTACCACCGCTACTACCACTACTACTACTACTACTACTACTACTACTACTACTACTAGTACAACTGCGGGACTATTACGACCAGTCTACTTGTTGATCCTTCTATATTTTTGTTTGATCCCTCCCCCTTAGGTTTTCTTGTAGCCCTGTAGCAACAGTATTGTTTAAATTTTTGATCCGTAATTTAGCTTTGATTTTTTTTGGTTTAATTTTTCATCCTTATTTAACTTTTTGTGATCCGTCACCCCACAACGACAGCCCCTGGAACGACCAAAACAAAACGCACCATCATAATAGTAATAGTCGTAATGGTAGTAATACTAGTAATAGTAGTAATAGTAGTAATAGTAGTAGCAGTAGTAGTAGTAGTAGTAGTAGTAGTAGTAGTAGTAATAGTAGTAGTAATAATAATAGTAGTAGTAGTAGTAGTAGTAGTAGTAGTAATAGTA